CGTGAAATGCTGTAAACTGTGAAAATGAAGTCTCAAAATCCAAATGAACTGAACAAGATCGACTCCAACTAGACGTCAGTTAATGCACGCGTGTCACCTGATCCACAAATGCACATTTTAATCGCTACATGCACAAATCATGATATTTTAATACAAACTATAACATTTGTATTCACAAATATGTCTCTATTTGATCAAAATGCTGCACATTAATGTAATTCTTAGCTCTGCAGACACCGGTTGAAAAGCATTTGTTTTAGTGTAGTGAGGCACATTTGCGATTTTTTCACATCGTGTACACGTTAATGAATTGCACTGGGCCTTGTTCATTGGTAGTTGTGTTTTTGGGGACGTGAAATGCTGTAAACTGCGAAAATGAAGTCTCAAAATCCAAATGAACTGAACAAGATCGACTCCAACTAGACGTCAGTTAATGCACGCGTGTCACCTGATCCACAAATGCACATTTTAATCGCTACATGCACAAATCATGATATTTTAATACAAACTATAACATTTGTATTCACAAATATGTCTCTATTTGAACAAAATGCTGCACATTAATGTAATTCTTAAGTCTGTAGACACCGGTTGAAAAGCATTTGTTTTAGTGTAGTGAGGCACATTTGCGATTTTTTCAAATCGTGTACACGTTAATGAATTGCACTGGGCCTTGTTCGTTGGTAGTTGTGTGTGTGGGGGACGTGAAATGCTGTAAACTGCGAAAATGAAGTCTCAAAATCCAAATGAACCGAACAAGATCGACTCGAACTAGACGTCAATTAATGCACGCGTGTCACCTGATCCACAGATGCACATTTTAATCGCTACATGCACAAATCATGATATTTTAATACAAACTATAACATTTGTATTCACAAATATGTCTCTATTCGAACAAAAGGCTGCACATTAATGTCATTCTTAACTCTGCAGACACCGGTTGAAAAGCATTTGTTTCAGTGTAGTGACGCACATTTGCGATTTTTTTCAAATCGTGTACACGTTAATGAATTGCACTGGGCCTTGTTCGTTGGTAGTTGTGTGTGTGGGGGACGTGAAATGCTGTAAACTGCGAAAATGAAGTCTCAAAATCCAAATGAACCGAACAAGATCGACTCGAACTAGACGTCAATTAATGCACGCGTGTCACCTGATCCACATATGCATAGATTCCTTTTTGCATTAGCAATTTATGATATATTAATGCAGAACAGAACATTTTTATTCGCAAACATCTGTATTTGTACAAATCGCTGCACAATCATTTAATCCTGAATTGCACAGACTCAAATTGAAAGACATTTGTTTGTGGTTAGTAAGATACATGTATAAAATTTATGCAGTACATGGATAATTGTGCGTGCATCTATTAATCATTTTGAGTCTAATATCATCCCATATGAGTGAGCATTCAACATTTGTTTTTGAGAGCGTGTGACGTTGCCTTTCCTCCACGTGCTGGTGGTGTGAATAGCTTCCCCTTCCCCCTGCCCTGCGCCTGTCACTCAAAGCCTTAGTTAAGCCTTCATTAAGAAAATAACAGTGAGGCTATGGCCTCCACACTGCCTTTGTTCAAACACCTGCCTCTGACGTCAAAGGGCCGCTTTGCATCACACATGCATCTTGTGTCAGGGTCAAACATATACAAACACACTCATATGAAGTCTGTAAGAGATTTTATAATGGCGACTTTACATTATATTGTACATTATAGAACAAATAGTATGTAAATGCTCACTTTATGCCTGCACATGTGTTATCTTAAAGTTATCTTTAGTCTAATAGCATCTCGAAAAGCATCAGTAGAATCTTTTCACTCTGTTGAGTTTCCTTTAGCTTAGAATTAAAATGCTCTAAAAATGGACACAATTGCCAAATTTGATAATTGGCAAAAAAAAAAATTTGAATTTATTTTATCTGTTGAATATTAATTATATTGTAGTCCTTTAATTTGATTGGACAAGCAGTTTTCTATAACAATATTATTTCTTATAAATAAGATAGCTGGTCATATTGTGTTAAAAATGCTATTTACTCGACATTAATTGAGAAATTATATAAAAAAATTGTTCAAAAGCAATATATCGCTATCTTGCTGCTGTACTGAATATCACAAAACTGCAAGTAAAATCTATTTATAAAAACATTAAATCTTTATTAAACTTTATTTCCTTTCAATTAATTGATTAAATGTATGTTTTAACATTGATGGATGGCATGCTTTGTTTTTTATAGTTAAAAACAAAGGCCCTCATAGGGTAAAAATGTTCCTGGAGCTAAATATTGGTCCTTAATAAATGTGCCATACATATGTGATTACCAACTTCTTCACAGATAGAATACATTTTCCGACATTTGACCTCATTAGTCCACAATGTATCAGCTGATAATCATCAGACAGTCACAATTTAGCGGGCTGACATTCGAATGACTCGAATGTCTTTTTTGTCCACATACGCCATTCTGTACTGACCTTCGCGCACTGCATGTGATTGCAGCCTTCATTTTTCTGGATGGGGGATTTGCAGTTGGCACAAGGTTTAGAGTTGGTGAGTAGCCACAGGCAGTTGGCAGCATCTTCATAGGCTTCACTCACACCAGCCACTGTTCAGAGACAGAGAGGAGCTCAATATTAAAACCTACAGAAGCAAGTTGTATATCATGAACATCCATTAAATAAAGGTACAGGTGAAGGTGCATATATTAAGTAAAGGTGCAGACTGAAATATCTGGAGCTCCTACATTCTTCAGGCTTCATTTCAGACACTTTCTGCAGCCACATCTTCCATGTCTCACAGTCACAAGGTTCATGAGCATCACCAAGACACTCCCTGAGAAGAAACCCGAGAGATAAACATGAATAGTGCTTTCATGGCATTTTCCAGGACGAACGTTAAGATGGTGATCTCATGAAATCTCGCAGAAACATGATTGTGTCACATTATCCCATCAAAATCAAAAGAAACAATATATAGTATTTTAACAAAAATATTAATTTTTAGGGCTGTTAAGGATTTTTGTATCCACCAGCCTCCTAAGCTCTCATTGCCATAAATGCACAAAAAACGAAATGGGGAAAAAAGTACAGCATTGTAGCGTCTGCGTAGAATCATGCATGATCTTTGGGTTTTATGGCTTAAGAGACCCTTTTAGCTTTTGACATTTGCATATAAATTACAGTCCTGGTCACAGACGTTACACTTGCCTTTTATTGTGGCCAGCCTAAGGCACACCTTTGCAATAATCATGCTGTCTAATCAGCGTCTTGATATGCCACACCTGTGAGGTGGTTGGATTATCTCGGCAAAGGAGAAGTGCTCACTAACAGATTTAGACAGATTTGTGAACAATATTTGAGAGAAATAGGCCTTTTGTGTACATAGAAAAAGTCTTAGATCTTTGAGTTCAGCTCATGAAAAATGGGAGCAAAAACAAAAGTGTTGCGTTTATAATTTTGTTCAGTGTATATATATATATCTCTTTAATTATTTTGTTTTTAAGTGTTTTACTGCATTTTGCAGAAATAAATTATTGTATTACAGTAATGAGAATAAAATCACCACAAAGAATAATAGGAATTTCAAAACTCAAAAAAATGCAAAGACATATTATAGTAATGCAAGGGAAAAAGAAGAAATGTGCTCAACTGATAATTAAATACTGTCAAAACATTAAAAAAAAACTCACAATGATCTTTAAAAATATATTTTTATAAGCACTTTTTTTTTTTTTTTAACCAATATGTATAGTTTAGAGGTTTTGTATGGGATCAGAACCCCGCCTAAAGTATTGCAGTCACGGATAAAAAAATTACAAGCATGAAAACAAAATTTAAAAACGCAAGTAAAAAATATATTGCACAAGATTTAAAAATGAAAGCAAAGTTTTCAGAATTGCAAACAATGGTCACGGATTAAAAAATAATAAGCGTAAATCAAAAAATTAATAACACATTTTTTATTCAATATAAGGCGTCTCTGTGTTGCTTGTAGGACACTGTTCTGCTGTGGCTTTATTTGGACTCTTCATCAAGCAAAATGAGAAAATAGGTACAATGTAAAACTCACTCAAAATTTACTTCTTGTTATATTGATTTTATACTACAGTTCAATAAAGATTTTCAGTGCAGCTTATATTCGGGGAAGCACTCTTCCTCATGTGATATTGCTTAACTGTATGTCATTTTATAATCTCAGAGTAACACAAAATAATATAAAGATAAATCTTACAAGACCATCAACCTTATCAATGACATACTGTACATGAAAATTTTTTGATTTACGCTTATTATTTTTTAATCCGTGACCATTGTTTGCAATTCTGAAAACTTTCTGAAAACTTTGCTTTCATTTTTAAATCTTGTGCAATATATTTTTTACTTGCGTTTTTAAATTTTGTTTTCATGCTTGTTATTTTTTTATCTGTGACTGCAATACTTTAGGCGGGATTCTGATCCCATAGTTTTGAGATGTACTTTTTAGCGTTCGTACCTTACGGTACCACCCCAGACACAGCTTTGCACCTTTTTTTCTGAGAGTGTAAATAAAGAAAACAGCTGGTTAACGTACCAGCAGAAGAGATGGCCTTTGCCACAGTCTACAGCGGGGGCTTTGAGCAAGGGGAAGCTCCGAGGGTCAGAGGCTCCAGGGCCTGGCCTAGTCAGTCGTACGGCTCTTTCACATCTGGCTATGGGGCACCAGCGAATGGCAGGATTATTATCCACAAAAGCCTGGTGATGGAAAAGAAATGCGTTTAAACTTCCTCTTTGTTTTGGATGACGTAAATGACCCAATATCCAAAATCGATTTTAATCTGTAAATCATCCAAATCAAATCGACGTGATATTTACCCAACAATCAAACATTTGACTTCTGAGCATCTGTGTTTACAAAAGCTTTTGTTTTTTGCTCAAACAAACACGGGCATAAACTCAACCAACAGCCTGATGCTGTCAGCATTTTGATTCAAAGCCAACGTCAAGACAGTCTATGATAAGAAAAATAAAATGGCAGCTTTGAAATGATTTCTGGTGCTTTGTGAGCTGCAATTGTACCTTAATGTCAAACTGCAGGTAGCGCTTATCCATCTCTCTGGAGACAACACTTTCAATGACCTCCACAGGAACCAGCTGGAAGCAGTCGTAAGCAGGGCAAAAGATGTTATGTGCTTCCCCTTCTTGGATCTTCAGATTCAAAAACCTGACATCCAGACAAACAGTGTTCAGAGACTGTGAATAGATGGATCATAAACAACCTGCAATATATATATATATTTTTTTAGCTGAGGTGGATTTTCCTATTCATTTTATTCACAGAATTTTAAAAATGTCAAAAAACAACATCTTTGAAGCAAAACAAAAAGGGTTTTCTTTGAGGGAAAGAACTACTCATCACATGAAGCATTGCAAATACCATAAACAAACAGGAAATGGTAAAATACATATCTGAAATAGTCAATGATTATAAGTATAAAAACAATATATTTGACATTTATAGCTATTCCATTTATAAACTATTCCAGCACATACACTACCGTTTAACAGTTTGGAGTCTGAAATATTTTAGAATGTTTTTGAAATCTCTTATGCTTACCAAGGCCACATTCATTTGATAAGATATAAAAAAAATAAAAAAAATTTAAAAAAAGAGTAATATTTGTTAAATATTGTTATAATTGAAAACAACTTTTCTAGATGCTATTTTAATATTTTAAATGTAATTTATTCCGGTGATAGCAACATTTTCAGCATCATTACTCCAGTCTTCAGTGTCACATGGTCCTCCAGAAATCATTCTAATATGCTGATTTTGCACTCAAGAAACTTTTCTGAAAACAGTTGTGCTACAAAAAGTTTTGTGGAAACCGAAATATATTTTGTTCAGGATTTTTTGGTGAATAAAAAAAGTTGAAAACATCCATGTTTATTTCTATTTTAAATCTTTTGTAATGTTACACATTTCTTTACTGTCACTATTGATCCATTTAATGCATTCTTGTCAAATTAATAATGTATGTATTTAAAAAAAATCTTACTGACACCAAACTTGGTAGTGTAAGTAGTTACCTGTAATGGATGTATTATTAAGAAAATATCTGATATGATCTGATCTTGAGCATTAAACAAAACTTCATAATTCATTCCTTACCCTTCCCAGCATGCCCTGCAGAACTCGTGCCCACACGACATATCCACAGGGTCCTCAAACACAGATATGTTTCCCATGCAAATCCCACACTACATGGGCATAAGAAACATTGAACAGACTGTGTCAATATTCTTTTCAGTTTTTGTGCATTGAATGATAAAGAATGTGGATCATAACGTCATGCATGGCGATTAATCTAACCAGGGCAAGGCCATCAGTAGGAGACAGGCTGATCTCATCAGGGGAGGTGACAGAGGAGCGAGTTGTTCTCGGGGTTCTAGGAGAAGGCAGAGTGTCCCAAGCATTGTAGCCACTCGGTGGGGGAGTTGGCATCTGAACACCTGAGCGCTGGCAGCAGTCCTCCGCATTAGACATCCAGTCTTCTAGAAGTTTTTCCCTGTCCCAGTCTGTTCAGCAAAAAGAAGGTTTAAACGTACTGACATTAATATGTTCCTCTAACGCAGTGTTTCTCAACATTACCAAAAAAAGTGTGTACAGACAAGTTGCTTGGAGCTGGAACCTGGTCGCATAGTGCTGGTTTAGGACATGCAACAGTTGCCATCTATATAATATTCCAAGAGAATTACGTATACAGAAAAAATACAGAATCCACCTTCCATCTCTGAATGTTAAATGTGAAATTGGTGCCAAATACTTCAGTAAAGATTAAGCATGGAATGTTCTGGTTTGCCCAATAATGAAGACGAGCCAAGCCCTTTTGCTTGTAATATCTTGAAGAATGAAGGGTCCTGGATATTGGCCAAATATGGCATATTTCTTTAATTGATCAAATGGATCAGCTGGCACAATGACAGCCCTCTGCAATATATTACCTTTTCATCGCTAATGTTTTACAAATACGTACTGCAGCAAAACTATGGTAGAGGGATCAGATGATACTTATACATATAGAGGCTTTTTATTTGTTCACAAAATCTAAAAGATTTTTCCCAATTACCTCAGGATTCACTTGTGATGCCAATTTTTGTAAAAAAATAAATAAATAAATAATGTAGCATACGTATAAACCCAGTAATATCATTGGCTAAGTGGAATTGTTTGCTGCAGTAAATTCATACCGTGAGCTCGCAGCAGGGCCTCAGCCGTGAAGAGAGGAGCCTGCAGCATATCCGCCGTCTCCACTATCAACATGTCTTTCAGCCGACGCAGGTCTTGCAGTTTCAATCCCTCATATGGCTGGAGAGCAAAAGAGAGAATGACAAGTTTGGGAGAGAGAGGGATAAAGATGAAAAGTGTAAAGGAAAGAGGGTGTAAGAGGAGAAGTGATGGAAAGAGAACTAATAAAGCTTTTCCTTTTAAACTTCTATATTGCTCAGCCTGTCTGGAGCAGCAAAACGAAGCAATCATGAGTCTGCTGCTGGCAGTTGGGTCTATCCTCTTTCAACTGGTGCCCTATCCTTTGACTGTACATTACCAAGTTATGATTTATCTTGAGCTCACTTCCTCAGCACACAGCTATGACTAATGAAATAACGGTGTACTCTCACACGCACAGTCTACGTTAGTTTCTCCGTTTGTAGGCCTGCAAACTTCTGCCTATATTATATTTTGGGATACAAATTGATTAACAAATTTAACAAATGTTAAATGTTATATATATATATATGACCCTGGAGCACAAAACCAATCTTAAGTCGCTTGGGTATATTTGTAGCAATAGCCAACAATAAATACATTGTATGGGTCAAAATTATCCATTTTTCTTTTATGCCAAAAATCATTAGGATATTAAGTAAAGATCATGTTCCATGAAGATAGTTTGTAAATTTCCTACTGAAAATATATTAAAACGTAATTTTTGATTAGTAATATGCATTGCTATGAACTTCATTTGGACAACTTTAAAGGCGATTTTCTCAATATTTAGATTTTTTTGCACCCTCGGATTCCAGATTTTCAAAAAGTTATATCTCAGCCAAATATTGTCCGATACTAACAAACCATACATCAATGGAAATCTTATTTATTTATATATGTATAAATCTCAATTTTGAACAATTTACCCTTATGACTGGTTTTGTGGTCCAGGCTCACATATATGAATGGTACTGTTTATATGTATATAAAATGGAAACTGTAATACACCTTTTTTCAGTAATCTTTGATGAAAAGAAAGTTCAAAAGAACATTTATATGAAATGAAAATTATAAATGTAACATGTATAATTTTGTAACATTATAAATGTATTTCCTGTCCCTTTGGAGCAATTTAATGCATCCCTGCTGAATAAAAATGTTAATTTCTTTCTTTCAAAAAAAAAAAAAAAAAAAAAAAAAAAGAAGAAGAAGAGTTTAGATGCAAAAGCCTCTAAGTTCCATCTGAAATTTTCTTATAAAATTAGCATTTCTCATAATTTGAAATGACTGAACCTACACATAGGAGTCTGATAAAAATGCTAATTTTAGAAGAAAATTTCAAACGGCACATAGAGGCACTGTATGTTGTTTATACACTGTAAGTTATTTATATATATATATATAAATAATTTTATTGATCCTAAACTTACTAATGTATCAAAAATAAATGCTAAAACATCTAAATTCAGAAAACAGTTTTTAACACAGCCATACCTCTCGTCGGTCAAGGGCGGCATACTCTGCTTCTATCTCCTGAGCTCCAGCATCCTGAGAGAAAACCATCTGAGACTCCAGACTGAGCGCCAGCTCCTTGTGATGCTGTTTCTCCGCACAGTCACACGGCGTCTCCCTGTCCTTGTTCTCCACGAACAAATCTGCATTGTTCTTCACTAACAACTGTAAAACACAAGACTAACCCTTAGTTAGTGGCTTCACTGAGTAATCAATCCTAGAGTCCTACAGTGAAACCAGAAAAGTAATCTTGCATGGTCATGGAGTTTGGCCACATACTAAACAGTCGAACAGAGCTGAATCTGAACTGAGGCTTTGCATTAAATCAATTGAAAATTCAATAAATACATACTCAAGGCCTGAACTACATAAGAAAAAAAAACAATCTTGTTACCTCAACACAGTTCTTCATGCCAGCCGCTGCCGCGTAGTGCAGGCAGGTGCTCTTTTTGTTGTCGGTGGCACTGACATTGGCTCTCTCATACTCGCCCTGGTCCAGCTTGGCTCCGGTCCACTGCAGGATCATCTGGAGGCACTCAGCCCGCTTCTGTTCATCCTCCTGGGGGCGGCTGATCCGCGGCTGCAGCGCCCCCTCACTCAGCAGGATCTGCGGGCCCATGCACAGCAGGTGCAACGCAGTCTCATTGTGAACGTTGCACTTGTTGGGGTTGCCATCTTTGGAGAAAAGGAAAGACCTGCAGGAAAGGAACTCGACTGTAAATCAGAATTACATTTAAGAATACAAATTACAACAGCAAAACACAAACAGTAAATGCAAAACAAACAAAAAACTGTAGCTTAGTGTAGTTTTTGTACATATCCATTTTGTGCAAATCATTTTGATTCAGACTTGATTCTTTAATGAATCATTTAGACCAGTGATTCTCAACCCTGGTCCTGGGCGCCCCCCAACACTGCACATTTTGTGTGTCTCCCTAATCAAACACACCTGATTCAACTCATTAGCTCATTAGAAGAAACTTCAGGACCTGAAATGGGTGTGTCAGACAAGGGAGACATACAAAATGAGCAGTGTTGGGGGGCGCCCAGGACCAGGGTTGAGAAACACTGATTTAGACTGATCTGTATACAGCTTCATCTTGTTCATTGAAAACAATAGACTAAAAAGAACAAATCATTTAAAAATCAGGCATCACTATAGCTTATACAAGCTACACAAAAGTAGTAGTATCTCCTGAAATTAGATGAACATAATTAGAAAAATGTATATGAACTATACAGACCATTTCAGGGATTAAGATTGTATTAGATCTCATGACTTTTTAAGGCCTAAAAAACTAAGTAAGGCAAGCACATACAATTGTAACTTGAATGTGTGAGGCTTCCAGTTATTTTAGCTGTACAAAAACTGTCCAATATGCGGCTTGATATTGCAAACAGGTATTTGTTATCATACTATTTTAATTTATTATTATAACTATGTATTATTTTTATTTAATTTATAATCATAAACACACTGGATTGTAGCAAAAATACGGATGAAAAACAAAAACAAAATTTTTACTGTTTACTGCACTGTTATTCTTCTATTTATTTACCTATAATAGCAAAGGAATCAGAAGTACATTCACAGGAAATAGCTTATTTCTGCGTTGAACTATGAGTTGAATAGAATGACATCCTGTTATCAACACTGGTTGATTTTGCATGCTCAAAGCCTTAAAGGGGTCCTATTATGCTTTTTCACTTTTTCAACTTTAGTTAGTCTGTAATGTTGCCGTTTGAGCATAACGTTCATGCCAGACTGGGGAGAGAGGTGTTGTAATAATGTAAAATATGTGAAAAATAATGTGTTTTTCGAACAACCTAGTATGAGAGCCTGTTCTAGTACACCCCCAAAACAAAATCAAGACTTTGTAAAAGAGCATAATAGGACCCCTTTAAGGGTGCCAAGCAATAAATAGGAGTTTTGCACCATAACTGTTAACACTTCGTGGATTACGCCATGCTTTATTGCCCAATCAGCATCAAAGACCAGAAATGTCTTATATATTGATTTTATAAGCCTCTATAAAACACCACAGGCAGTATATAAAGACGACCTTCGTCTTCTTCTCAAAGATATTGCTTCAAGCAATAAAGGAGAGCTAGTGGCGGCATCTACCATCTCAAAATTTCATAACATATGAGAGTTCATTAGGATCATAACAATATTAACAATGAAAATGTCATGATGACACTGTTCAATACAGCTGGACCCCTCGGTGTCTCCCTGCCTGGAGGTAATTAGGAAGACTAATATCATTTCAGGCGATTAATTGCGGGAGCTTAAAAGTAATTGATAACAGGTTTCAAATACACCATAGAATGGACTCAGAGGAATGTACAACCTTGTAAGCTTTAAGAGTGAATTTAGTGATTGCATTCAGCAGGCTTTAATGCCTTTGAGTGGAAATGACTCAGCGAGCTGTTCTGGGAAGTCTGTGATGTGAATCTGGCAAGTTTATTAGTTGATGCAACTGAAAACAACAGCTCTAACTCCCAGCATTCCCCTAACCCTGCTCTCCAACTGAAACTGCACCTGGGAGGCCAGAAAGACTGGTTGAACTACCACGAAATTGACACGGACACCTGTTAACTACGCGACTGTTAAATCTACCGAGATGTAACAATAGAACATTAGTGCAATAATGCTGTAACGACATCATGAAATGCAAAGCCAAGCATTTGAGGTGGAATGACACCAACATCCAAGGATAATGTCTAGACAAACAGGTGAAAGACATCTTGTGCTTTGTTCTGCTGTATGCTAACTAATTAAAGTGTGATCATTATAAAAACAAGACCACACAAAGGGTACACATACTTAAGGCCAGATGCCAGAGTATGTGGCATTTGGCCTCAAAAATTCTGGGTGTAGTCTAGACTGGCATGCTGTTTTTCCAAGAATCAGTAGCAGCCTCAAAGTGAATCAGAAGTCCAGTTACAAAATACAGAACTCTGGTATTAGCTTTTAAATACATAACCACTTCAAACTGGCCGTTACAGTTTGGGTGGTGGTTCTAGCTAGGATGTTTGTAGTTTTGTCAACATCTTTGTTTTCAACTAGGACACGTGTAGAATAGAATTTTTGACCTTGCAAGCTTTAATTTGACAGGCTGGTTTTAAGCAACTTCGAGGTAAAGTCTGCCTGGAAACAACCCTCTGTGCAGTACAAACTTTCAGTAAAATATTATTTTTTGTGGTATGGTCTGTAAATCTGCATATAAACAGTACAGTAGAACACTTTACATGTAGGTCACTTTTAAATGTCAATCAGATGCTCTTTTTCTGTCCATTACACCAGAATAAGCTACAATGTGGGTTAGTAATCATGGTCAAAGGTAAAGATATGACAAACTATACAGATCAACTTATATTCTACCTTTTACAATAAACTTGATGTATCAGAATGAGAAGCAATCAGGCTGTGAAGTCATTAAGGTTGCTAGCAGTGTGCTCCAACATGCTGTAAAATGAAAAGAGGAACGTGAAAAGGAAAGAGGAGGGACAGAGAGTCCTCAGTAGCTAGCTGTCCTAGCTGGTAATTACCAACCATTTTCTCAGAGGGGTGCATTTACTACACTAAGTCAGAGTTGGCTTTATGGCTGCAAGCGGTCTTGACTCAAATACCAAGCAACGGAATTCAACAACCATGCAAAAATAACCTTGCATCGCACAAAAACACCTCGGGCTCCACATAAGCTTCCCATTCCATGCATATTTGCTTTAGGTCCTGTCTGTTAGGGGCCAACATGGGAAGGTTATTCAGTGTTTTTTTGTTCTCCCTGAAGCAACAAACCTCTACAAATGTTGCTGTGCTATTTGGGTCTTCCCATTACATCAATAAAAGTCTAACAATCTTACCTTTCATTGTTAGGATACATATTAAAATTAAATGCGTTCATATGTTTTGCCATGACACATACAGTACTGTTAAAAAGTTTGGGGTCAGTAAGTTTTATTTATGTTTTTGAAAAAAGTCTCAAAAAAATACAGCAAAACTGTTATATTTTTACTGCCATTTTTAATCAATTTATTATCCTTGCTGAATGAAATGATTAATTTCTTTAAAACGAAATACTACTGATACAAACTTTTGAACCATTGTGTAATGTCTACTAGTACCTTACAAATTATAATTTCATAACTAGTCATAACAATTTTGATTATAATAGTTCTTTGTTTTGCTTTAAATGGTGTCAAATTCACTCTGGCACTGAAATTTAAGGTGAACAACCACATCACGACCAGTAGAGGCTAATGCTTGTATTTCGGTGCCCAATCATTCACAGGTTCCTACCTGATGAGGCGTGTCATGGCATGGCGTGAGGCGTAATGCAGGGGTGTGTTGTGTTGATAGGGCTCCCCATAAGATGCGTTGGGCTCCAGAGCCTCTTTAAATTGGGGGTTGCTCTCATAAAGCTGGCAAGCCAGGAATTCGTCTCCACTGATAAGTGCTTTACGAAACTTGGTGGCGGTATTCCCCATGGCAGGAGCTGTAGTGGGATCCGCAGAGCGACCCACATTAAGTTTTCAGCACTCAGCCAGTGTGAGAGTGGATAGGCCGCATACCGCAAGTCCTGTAAACACATCAACACGATCACATCGTCTGGAATCTGTTATTCACTGTGTTACATCATGGAATGGAAAATCAATGTGGAAAATCAACAGCACCATATTGCAATCTCTATTTAAAAATTTGACACCAGAAAATCAGGTTTTGCTCCTAATGTGATATATAATCTCTACGCCCATCACTAGTCCATTACCTTCACCTCAAAGCTTGACTCAAAAATAGTGTTAGGCTTAAATCTGAAGTGTAAAATTACCACAAGCATTTTCAAATGGAAATGCTAAATATCTTGTATAAAAATAAGACAGATCAGATCCAGCAATAATCTTTCTGGACTCTGAACCTAATCTATAGTCTGAACATTTCTTGACAGGTGACACAGTTGATCAATGAAATCGACTGTTGGGTTTGCACTGGTTTTGATATTGCCGACGTGTTTACACATTTCTGTGAAATCAACCAACAGATGGCTTAATTGGGGCCATTGAAACGTATGAAGGATCGTATGAAAGTCTTGAGGAGCATTTTTTAAAAATGTAACTTTTGAGTTTTTAGAAAGCTGTGTCATGTGCGAGACACTGCGAAAGATGCCAAGCATGATTGCAATGGTCAAACACGTCCATCTAGCGTAAGTTGACATAGAAAAACAGTGGAAAAGCAACACAAACGTGCTCTGCTTTGTAACATATTAAACAGTAAATAATTATACAGTTCAGATTTGAATATATAACTCATACGCAGCTACTGTGCGAAAAATAAACAAGCTACTATCCAACTCGCATTACTATCTTATGGAAATCCCTAACGTAACAAAACCAGTCTGCTTCACAAAATGCTAATTTGCATATGACCACATTGTGCAAATAACAATCTTGCACAGGTGTCCTTATCTGATCTTATCGTTACCCTATTTTTCTAAACATTTACATCAGATAAAACGGCTGTGCCTTTTTTTGATTAAAAAAAAAGTATGAGTACACTAAAAAAGAAACCTTTTTAAAAGGTTACATGACCTAAGGGATCTATAACGTTTCATCAGCAAAACAATCCAGTATGCATCATGTCATGCTCTAATAAATCAGCTTGAGAGGGTTGTGGGAGAGTAGAGGGCGGCAGCAGGTGCACTGATCGGGCATGAGTGAGTGGGAGCTGGGCGTTCGACCCGGTTTTTTAGGTCATTCTGTCTGCTCTGTTGTTCTTTTCCACGTCATTTCACATCTCACTCGGATTCAACAAAAATGTCTGTGGAGTTACATCAGAAACAAAGCACATTTTAGAACTCAGAAGGATCATTATAAACGCACTTTGGACTTGTGGTCGAACGGCTCATTTTCAGGTGGGACGTCTGAGAATGCAGAACAGATGAATTAAGAGCAGCACTTGGCAGGCACACAAAGAGAGGGAAACGTTTCTGTTCCACAAGCTTCCCCCACACTAGAGCTCAATCATTAAACATACTGTGTGTCCATTAATGGAAAAACTCCATTTGCATTTATTTTACAGGCAGTGGGATACTTTCAAACAATGCAGGCTTTGTGTTAAAAGATGATCCTCAACTGCCGTTTTCACTTTTAACTGTCTGAAACTACAGGCTGATTAATTGCCATGGCAGACAAGAACAGCATGCAGTAACCTGACATTTAAAGTTACAGTACCAAACCTTTACTATTATTTTTGGAAGACAAAATAAGAAATGTAAAGGACTGACAGTCTCAGATAATATTCACCTTCATTGCACGGTTACGCTTTATATCAGGTGGCTTTAACTACTGTGTATAATATACATACATGTTGGTTCATGGTTATTACATTTAAAGGACTCTCATTAAATTAACATTTGTAGTTACACTTAACGTTACCCCTAACCGTAATCCCAAAACTGTAACCCTTAATCTTAACCCTATCCTAACTCCTAAAAGCAATCCATACCTCAGACTTGTGGGGATTTTCCAGAACAACATGTAGATACATATCAAATCCATAGTCCAGTAGTATGAATATAATGTTAGTAGATAGTAGTTAAAGGGGTCATATGACGTTGCTAAAAAGAACATTATTTGGTGTAATGAAAGGTGTTTATGCGGTTTAAGGTTCAAAAAACACATTTTCCACATACTGTACATTATTGTTTCTCCTCTATGCCCCGCCTTTCTGAAACGCGTCGATTTTTACAAAGCTCATCGTTCTGAAAAGCGAGGTGTGCTCTGATTGGCCAGCTATCCAGTGCGTTGTGATTGGCCGAATACCTCAAGCGTGTGACGGAAATGTTACGCTCCTTAACATACTGTGATGCCCTGTTCGGTCGGAGCGACGAGACAAAAACATTAAAGGGGTCATAATAAACAAGGCATTTGTTGCATCCAGTGGGGACATAAATACGGATTATAATGACTTATACTGTATTTTT